ATGCTTATAACACTCATAACTGTCAATAACTCTCCGTGTTGGGGAATTATGGTGAAGTTGAGAATAAATAGTCTAGTCACCATTTCTCGCCTTCTTCAGAGTTTTCTCATTTGCAGATACAACCTCTAAAATCTCCTTGCTTTCTGCAAAATAACCAACTTCTTCAATTTTCCTCTCCTTCAAAGAGTCATCGATGATAGCCTGGATGATTTTATTACCCCTCAACATTAAGTACAAATTAGCTTTTACTCCATCAGACTGATCAGCTTCTTTGCAAATTCGTGCGTAGGCATCAGCGATTTCGTGGATTCCACTACCTCTCACTGCTGCTACTCCTCTCCCTCCCAGCAGACTTGAGGTGCTTGTACGAATCGATGAGAAGAGATCATCCGATGTTATTTCATTACGACAAATTGCACATCTGGAGGCCAGTGAATGGCTTCTTAGAGATTCAAATGATCCACTTGACCTTTTCTCTGAACCCTGAGTGAAGAAACTTCGCGAAGTGTTGATCCTTTCGATAAATTTGATGCCACTGAGTTATCGAATGTGTCGGCATTCGATACCCTTCTGATTCTTATTGATGCTTCATAACTACTCGGATCATCAGGGTCTGCCGTACTAATATCCGTTATCATCTTCCTACTCCGATAGGAACTGCAAATATTTGCAGTTCTGGGTCTTCCATGAGAGCCTTCAGAGTGCGTACATTTCTTTAATTAGGATCTTCTGAGCAGATTAGGAGTGTACATCAAGTCTGAGGTCATATCGTCGGTTGTGAGTTGGGAGAGTTGATTTCTTGAAAGTCTGGTCTCCATTGAATAGTCTACTTCGTAAGTACTCACCTGACAACCAGCCTCATTTCATCAGGTTGAATGTTTGCAGTCAGACGCTTGGGGACCATAGTTGGTTTGATAGCAGCATCGCAAATGATGTGGCATGATTCGTAAACTCGACTTTAAATGGAAATCGCGTCTACTACAACTGGAACGACAGGTCTACATGAGGGACATGTAACTTTGATGGGAAGCATGCTGATACCACCATACTGTCGTCCACAATCACAAGTGAATATTGATTTTTTCCCAGTTCTCTAACAATCTCGAAATTTTTCCTAGCACAAGAAATGCAAGAGATTTTCACCGGAGGACTACCTGCACACGCTGCTGCAAGATGAAGTCCACAATTGCATCGAATATCAGACTGCTCAAAGGCCCTCGCAGATGGTGAATATTGAGAAGAGATAGCAGATGGGTTACTGATTTCTGTGAATGCAAACTGTCTTCCACCCTCACCAGTGTGGGCAGAGGTAATTC